GAGGAGGAGGAAGAGGAGGAGGAGGAGGAGGAGGAGGAGGCGGTAGCTTATGTACATAATTTGTATCAAATTTGCTATTGTCGACATTTCAGGATCAGTTGATAACAGAACTATGTATTGCGTATGTAGATGCTTTCTTACAAAATGAGTAGGCCTATTCTTTTGCTTACTATAACTTTCAAAAGAGCACAAAATGTCTTGAAATTATCAGTAGCCTACTTTATTATTTTACATTTTGTAGATAAATTACACTGTGCCTACAAACCAAATGGAATCTGACAAAATGCGACAACTGCGTCCTTGGCCGAACCGCTTGAAGAAAAACCTACCAACATCAACAACAACAACAACAACAACAACAACAACAACAACAACAACAACAACAACAACAACAACAACAACAACAAAATAATTTTTACAAATCCACCATAACAACATCACAGCGAGGTTGAAATGATTATTCCACTCGTGGGAAGAAGCTGGTTCAAGCAATCATATTATGTGGCAAACCACATTCACGGGGCATCGAACTCTGGGGCAAAGCTGATTCGTCTGGCATTGAATATATTATAACTATAATGTACGACTTCGGGGTTTTACCAAGGGGTTTCTACTGTAAAGAGACAGGACAGGAGGGCATGATGTAACTGAGAATGACATCTAATCTATTTATTGGACACGGTGTTATGTATTGTTATATGGATGGTTGTTTATTTATATGTATTTATTTATTTACTTTTTAATTATTTATGTAACCTATTTGTGAGGCAGCGTGGTGGAATCAGGCTCTCGACAATTTTTGGGCATGTAGAGTTGTTAGTATCATATTAAAGCTTGTTCATTTGTCTTGCTATGGGTGAAAAAAATATCCATCTATCTTGAAAAGAAGTCGAGATATTTGCCATTGAAGAAGGAGGGGTAGCCTGGTTTTAGTCATTAAATTGATGAGAAAATGGCCGCCAAAGTTTGGTAACTTCAATAGCTTAAGAGTCTTTGAAAACGGAAAATTACGTATTTTGTGCCTTTCAACAAGGTTTTTTCCAGTAAAATTCACATGGAAATGTGTTTTTATATGAACATGAAAGGAGTTAAGCCAAAAAACAGAATTTCGATAAAAATTGCCAATCGGGTGGAAAAATGCCTTTTTCTTCAATTTCATTATTTTGACGAGAGCCTGATTCCACCATGCTGCCTCACATTTATGTAATTTTTCATTTAATTATAGGCCTTATATTTATTTATTTGTTTTGCAGTCTATATTTTCTTTATTTGTTGCTGTTTACTTCTATGATCAATTAATGTTGCTCTTTTTGTAACTGATGGTTAGCCTTATATTGTTGTCATTGCTGCTGCCGCTGCTCTTCTTGTAGTTGTTGCAACATTATTTACCGGTACACCAATATTAAATTGTTGTTATCGTTAAATTTCCAGCATTATCTTTTTATGTTATTATTATAACTAGCTGCTGCTGATATTCCAGTCAGAGTTATTCCTGCGTTTTTTGGAATTGTTAATTTTGATTACTTTGTCGTTCGTGTAGATTTTCTAGTTGTCAATAGTTAGGCCTACTATTTATGGACTTGAATTAATCATCCCGAATGGGTGCCGCCATGGTTGTTGGGTGTTCAGGCGTTTGCGCCATCTTTCCTATCAAACGTCTATCGTCCTTATCTATCCTCCTTTTTTGTGTATGTTACTCTCTTGTAACACATAATCTATTCTTCGGCACTACATGACCTTATTGTGTTTCAGGTGCCGTAAAACTCTTACTAAAGCACAGTGTTTGTATTGTCTGAGGTTTGTTTGGCATTTCAAGGACAGATTCTCGAGATCAAAATCAAAATGGATTAATATTATTTCTCACACGACTAGTCGTTTGTGTGATCATATTATTATTAGTATTATGATCTCTTATTTCTTTCTTTCAACATTCTCATCCTGGTGAAGTGAGATTAACATTTGTGTTAAGTAACTTCCCCAAGGACATATCGTCGAGCCTGATCAAGATTCCAATCCAAGTTACTTTTAATCTCCTTGTTCAAAATCAAACAAAAGCGAAACCAAAACTCTTTTGGGATTTCCCCAGCTATAGAATCTAATCACAGTGTAGAATTCTGTGAATCTAATTGAACTTCCTTCCGTCAGCCATCGCCATTCTATCATAGACGAACAGACGAACTATTCCGCTTAGTTCGTCTTGGATCCAATCAAAGATTCTCTAGATCTAGATCTGCTACAGTTCAGGAAAACAAGGGCATCTTTGTGGCCGTGGATGTGTGCTCAATTCTCTACTGTATAGAATCTAGATTTAGATCTAGAATCTACACCGTAATACACGGTCTTTGATTCAATTTCTTCCGGGAAAAACAGTTCTTTGGTTCCTATAATAATAATCAAAGATAGTACAGCCTACGGTAAGATGCTGCAGCTCCCTCTTTCCCTTTGTTAAAAAAACGTAGCACACGTAAAATAGGCCACGCCCCCAGCGAGCGTGTGACTGAGCCCCGATGGCTTGGCCCAGTGCTTGTTGGATAGAGTAGAATACGAGAGTGTCCTGGTTAATTCTACTCTAGGGCCCATTCTAATCTAGAATCTAGATCTAGATCTAGATCTAAATAATTATATATAGATCTATCTACCAAACTAAAGTATTGATCAACGTATTTCAATAATTTATCTAGTCTAGATCTAAATTATTTAAAAAGGAAAACATTAGATTAAAAAATAGCCTCACTTCGGTAACGAGTGATAAGATCAGAGGATAAATCTAGTGTACCGGGTGCATAGGCTCACGATCTACTAAATCTAGATCTAGATCTAGGCCTCGACAGTGACAATCACGAAATCTAGGTCTAGAATATATCCAATGCAATATTATTGATCGTATTGATGACAGGATCTTTAGGAGTATTTATTATCGAAGTGGCTAGCCGTACTTAGATCTAGGTTTGGCCCTATCGACTCAAGCCTGTTAAGTACACAGGTCTCAGATCTAGATCTAGTAATTATTCAGGTTCAAATACATGCAAGTCAGTAAGGCACCTTTTGGTTTTGTCTGAAATACAAATACTTTAGGCATTGCAAACTAAAAATTTCATTTACAATTCAGCCATCAATATTAAGTACGGCTAGACTGACAGTAGCCGTCCTTAAGTACGGCTAGCCTGGCTGTCTACCCGTACTTAAGTACGGCTAGACAAGAAGTCTAGCCGTACTTATCTTAGGCCCTATTAACATTAGAAAACAGGAGGTTTAAAATACATGCACTGTCATTAAGGCACCTGGTTTCGTCTCAAATACAATTTAGGTACTGCACACTAAAAATGTATATTTACAATTCAGTAGGCCTATTTTTTGTAAATGGTGAGTCTAGCCATCATATTAAGAATAAGTACGGCTAGTCTAACCGTCATTAAGTACGGCTAGCCTCTTCCATTTATTATTAGAAATCAAAAGATAGTGTCAATTAGTATTAGATTTAGATATATATACACCAGAGAACGCTGCTATAGCAGAATGGAGAGAGAGAGAGAGAGAGAGAGAGAGAGAGAGAGAGAGAGAGAGAGAGAGAGAGAGAGAGAGAGAGAGAGAGAGAGAGAGAGAGAGAGAGAGAGGGGGGGGGAGAGAACTAATAAGCTACTACAGTTAAAACGACAAACATGCACACAGAGAGATAGATGAGTGGGTGAGTGAGAGAGAGAGAGAGAGAGAGAGAGAGAGAGAGAGAGAGAGAGAGAGAGAGAGAGAGAGAGAGAGAGAGAGAGAATACAAAGAACACAACAAAGAAGCATTATATCATGTCTTATTAACTCGCTCTCTCTTTTCTAAGGGCTCACGCTCTCCTAGCCTTGACATGGGGGTGAAAGTTTACGACACTTTCCCCAGTGACACAGTCACATGTGCACTCTTTGGACCTTTGTTAGGTGCTTTCAATTTTCCTCGACTACACAGCTGATACCAGCTCATCATAGACGGAATAATAATATGCTGGAGGTGCTGTGTGTGCTCCTGAGATTTAAGTGTTATAAATCACGTCGAACCACTTTTAAGGCAACTTTTTCAATAGATGAAAATTAGTTAGAAAAAATTTGGAGGGGAAACAAATTCATCCCAGCCATCCAGGAGAATCTAGAATAGAGCTAACTTATAATAAAGTATAAAGAGATGGAAGACAAAGTTGATGCTCCTCGTTTAAATTGTTCCTAAAATACCGTGGCTCACCGTGAGTATAGCAAAATCATCACTGTTGAGCTCATGGCGCTTGATTTTTGGTAGTAAAGAAGTGGAAGCAACCTAAGCCCCACCCAAATCTTGGTCCACCCACCCCCACTGGGTGTTTGTGGAGGTGGTTTTTGTGATGTACATGAAGATGATTTGATGAAGATGTGATGGTGGCCGTGATGATGATAAAATGTACAGAAGTGGTCAGAACATATGGTGTGCGTGTGTGTGTGTGTGTGTGTGTGTGTGTTTGTGTGTATGTGTGCGAGCGTGCGTGCGTGCGTACAAGTGCGTATGAGTATGCGTGGTGAGAGAATTGAATTGAATTAGACTTTATTGACTTTCGAGGCCAATGGCCCATACGTCATAAAAAGTTACAAATTAATATATGCAAAATACTGATCTCTCTGTGTTGTGCTAAAGAACAAATTACATAATAACCTACAACACAGAAAACATATAGATCTATACAACATTTGCATCTAGAATCTAGTTCTACACCTAATGGAATGGACCCGCACACAACAAAGTAGGCCTACAGAGTACAAAGCATTGGTCATAGTCAAGGATGCATGATGCAGAGAGTAAACAAAGCTTACAGGCTGGACTCTGATCTCTCTAGTTTAGCTCTAATCTAGACTCTAGATTAAACAATCAATTTCACATTGTCTTTCCATTTTTCGTTCTTTGGGAATCTGAGGAAAGACAATTATTTCGTTTTTCCTCTGGAATTAGAACGGCCGATCGCTGAACAAAACTGGCCCGTATATCAGACAGCACAGAGCGTTGCGAGGCTCTCGCCGTGTTTGTTTACATACTGTCGCACGCTCGCCCCTAGTGGCGCTAGGAGTCGACGTTTATATTTTAGTGTCTCTGGTGCCTCACAAAATTGGGCCACTGCAACATCTTATTATAGTTACTTCTGACTTCCACTTCCAGGCTTCCAGGTCCAGTGTCGGAGCATAAAATAAGGTAACCTAAAATAAAGGCAGGCGCTATGTGCAACGCCGCGTTCTGACCACGAACAAGGTAAAGAAATCGCCCTGATCAATTTTCTCCGATCTTTGCATACAGGTCTAGAAGTTGGATGACCAACAGAATCTAAAAGCCCCTTAAATTCATAAAGGTTAAATCTCAAGAAAGTGGCTATTCTCACCCGCCCGGAAGTTCTCGCAAGATCAACTCCTCCCCTCTTCTCTCTCTCTCTGTCTCTTTCTGAATACTGTCTATCGGTGTGGACGATCAAATTGACCAAAACAAAGTTTAAAAATGATGTTAAAACACAAAAGTAAATTAATTTGGTTGTCTACAAAGATGCTACGGCTATTTAACTTTTCGAATCGAGCCGAACTACGCGGGTCGCCATTTTGTTTTGCCCGGAAATTCTCGCGCTACTCCTCTCTCTCTTTCTCTCTCTCTCTCCACTGCCCACAGACAAAATTGTACGCTTTTAGTAGGCTACAATTGTAATGGAACGTTTGTTCACGGCACAGAATTCTACAATTTTTCTGTTATCACAGTGTAGAATTCTGTGGTTTAGGGTGAACGCAAAATTTGGTGAACGCGCACCGGGTGAGAATAGCCACAAGACTCGCCTGCACTATTCTCACTCCGGGTGAGAATAGAGGTGGCCAAATCTCAAACCAACGTTCCGACAGGTTTTCTTTGATGTTAGTCTAAAGTCGTAGTAGACTTGGGTAAAAAAAAATAATATGAGGATTTATAACACACACTTAAAACATTAAAGAGTTGACACATAGATCTAGATCTATTTTCCTCGTCACCACACGCTATAACGCACGTTAAGAAACGCGATTCAAGAGATGAGCCTAGCGAGTAATTTTCTATATATATTCACGTGGAGACGTCTTGACATGTTGGGGCAGGGTGGTGTTGCGGTCTCAAAATGACCAATAATTGTTGGCTAGATTACTGTAATGAAAGATATTCTATAATCAGAATTCCCCCTCGGTCTTTTAGAAGTTGGTCGTTCAATGAAAGTGCGCAAATATGGATTACTACTTTTTCAACAAGAATGCCCTTTGGTAGGCTAACATAGATACTTTCATGTGTTGTCTTTACTCTGAGAGAGTTTTAGTGAATTTCATTGCGCACATTGGTTGTTACATAACTTTGAAGGTCATGTGGCGTCGGTGGCCTAGTGGTTAGGCTCTTGGACTCGCAACCGTAAGGTCGTGGGTTCGAATCCCGTCAGGGGCCCGACGTTGTGTCCTTGGGAAAGGCACTTTGCACAAATTTTCCTCACTTCACCCAGGTGGAAATGGGTACCCAGCTATAGACGGTGAAAGATCTTGTCAGTTTGATAGTGTTTGAGCGCGTGAAATCTGCAGCTTGCACTGTATGCTTCCGCGGAAGCTGAAAATGTTTCTGAGTGTTCTCAGAGGGTTTGCTGGGGTAATAATAGTTGTAAAGCGCATAGAGCAAGCTCTTGAGCATGGATATGCGCTATATAAATGCAATTATTATTATTATTATTATGCTGACCTAACAGTGTAAAAACTAGGTCCTAGTGAATTTCATTGTGCACATTGGTTGTAACTTTGAAAGTCATACTGACCTAACTGTGTAGGAACTGCCGAAACTAAACGACGGCAGTTTCGGTAACGTGAGCTGCGCACAGGGAAATGAGTCAGTCTAGTAGTAAGTCCTGATTACAAAGCGGGTATATTATCCTACAGTTTACAGCTCTGAGCGGCTTCACGGAAGGACAAAAGTGTGTGTTCTGTGGTGAAAGGGAACTGATGTGACAAGAGTAAGTCAAAATCATGACTGTTGTAGATTCTTTCTTATGGTATGTGCATTAGATTCTAACACTACATTTGTGACTTCGACGTGATCTTGTCATGTGTGCATTAAATTAATGCTACACTTCTGTCTATTTTATCTTCAGAAGAACAATAACCCGCTGAAGAGATCAAGAGTAAGATTTGCCAACATGGATGGAGATAGTGGAGCCACTAATTCCAGTACATGTAAGTTAATGTTAGTGTTAATTTGTGAGGCATTGTTGTGAAACTAGGCACTTGTCAAAATAATGAAATAATAATAATAATAATAATAATAATAATAATAATAAATAGCATTTATACTGCGCATTTCTATTTCCTAAAAGATGCTCAATGCGCATTACAATGAAAAAGACATCACATCTTAAAAATTAATCGACACAAATGTGTTCGTAAAACAAAGTATTATACATATAATATAAATGCATATGTGTAAAATTTTATACCAGAAAAACAGTCTCGCAGTGAGGTTGAAAATGTGTTCACTAAAAATATACAATGCAATATAAATTCACGAACAGTCAAAATACAGTTGAAACGTGAGTAACTAGAAACATTCATTAAAACATTAATTCTATAATATCTAGTCTTTTTCTGCTCTCACTATTCTAGCTCTCATTAACAGCATTTGTCAGGTTTAGTTGATTGTCTACCACAATGTTTCTGGTTTGGTTGAAGGTTTACCACCAATAGTCTATCTGATTTCTTGAAAATCAATTGTTGTCGCGACTTACTTGTCCATCATAATCTTTACCACTTCAAAATTCTTTGATGTAGACGACATGGCAACACGAAGCAATCCACCCATACATCTCTAAATGCCTCCGTCTTTGCCTTTGATTTAAATTACCCCCCCCCCTCCCCCGCTCGCAATGTCATTACTTTGAACAATCAGGAGGGACCTACTCTACGCAGTACATCGCGGACGATTGGGCAGTAATTTCTGTAGACCACTGTAGCACAGTAGACTTTCAACTAAACTGTCACCAATTTGTCTCTCTTGTTGAGGTCCGCTTTCCACCCACCATGTAGATGATAAACTCAACTTTTTCATGTTTGGTAATACCCAGTGCCTGTTGGTGGATCGGTTCTCTACTATAAACCGATCGCCCGACTCGTGGCCTTGACAACAAATGCGTTTGTTTTTGATGGTCACCGTTGCTTCGTTTGGTGTGCGCCACGATGGTCCCTTTTTGCCTTCAATCAGGCTAGCCCCACCTTCTAAAGCGAACCAAATCGATTGTGCCAATGGGCACTGGGTATATTTGACAAGAAAAAATGCATGGTTTCCCAAAATCGTGGAAGTCGTGTGAGTCACACAGTTTTGGGAGACCAGGTTAATTCTTCTTTGGCCAAAGCCTTTTTCATTGACTTCTAGGTTACACTTATCAAAATCTTTCACTGTTTTATATATTTTTCTTCCTTTCTTGAGCTCCTCTACCTCTTTCACGTCATGTTCCACCCCCTTCTTTTTCTCCGCTTTTTTTTTCTCAGCAAGGAATTTTCATTTTCGTTACTTTCTTCTAGTCTTTTGTTGTTGATGTGAAGAGAGTTGTGGGTTTAGCTTGAGACTGTCCAGTGATTTCTGGGCTATTTCACTTTTTCTAAATTTGAATCTGTCTATTGACAGCTATATGTTTATTTATTACTCAAATGGGTACTTACTATATAAAGCAGTGTAAAATGCAAATTGAAACTCAAAAGGATTTGGAAGTGTTCTCTTCAGTTTTTAAAAAGTGTTGCTGAGGGGAAAGAAGAACACATGATAAGTTAGTAGTCTGTGCTTCAGGGAGGGAACTTGAGCTAAAGTTCTAGTTTGTGGTTTGGTTTTGTCTCAGTTTCAGGTCCCTTTTAAAGAGACGAAAAGTCAGTTTGAAGGACTGATGGTTAGACTGATATAGAGGGAAGAAAAGAAGGCAGGCTCATTATATAATTATCTCATTAATCAAAATAGAGCTCTCTATGAAATACTTCATAAATTGCAGATTATAGATTCATATTTTTTGTGTTCTAGACCCGAGTGCTTTTGTTTTGTGTATGGGTACGCTCTTCCTCTTCTGTTGGAGATTCCATCGTAGATTTTTACCTTGTCCCATTATGGCCTGCCTCCCTAACAGTAAGGGTGTGCTCAGTCTATCACCATCTTCTTTTTTTCATCTTACATTGTATAAAGACAATTCCAAAACCCTCCTTATAACTCTCTCTGGGGATGTCACATGCCTTGTCTGTACTCATGACTTCACGAACAATTTTGCATAAAGTAAAGTTATTTCTTCATCTCTGACATGACCATTTGGTTTTTTTCACATGTGTCATGACTTGGTGGAATCGGGCACTCGTCAATTTTTGAGCGTATGGAGTTTTTGGTACAGTGGAAACCTGATATAACAAGGATGGTGGGACCAGAGAAAAAGTCCTGTTATATCAGATCCCTGTTAAATCAGAAATGCAAGGGAAGCAATGATTTGTGGACTAATCCAGCCACAAGTACACCACAGCCCTTTCTCGTGGCCTTGTGGATCGATGTCTGCAGCACACCGTAGCCCTCTCTCGCTTCCCCCTCTGCATGTGCTCGCGATGGCGTGGCTTGTGTGGGCTTGCTCCATCACGGCATTACTCTCTCTCTCTCTCTCTCTCTCTCCCTCTCTCTCCCTCTCTCTCCCCCCCTCTCCCCCCCTCTCTCTCTCCCCCCTCTCTCCCCCCTCTCTTTCTCTCTCTTTCTCTCTCTTTCTCTCTCTCTCTCTCTCTCTCTCTCTCTCTCTCTCTCTCTCTCTCTCTCTCTCTCTCTCTTTCTTTCTTACTTTTTACACATTGTTAATGAGCCTTTGTCCCTGCTATAACCGAATGGGCTCCAATGAGGCCCTGTTATTGCGGATAACTTTTAATAGAGACAAAGAGTAGGAAAAAACGGGGATTTTAAAAATGCCTGTTATCACCGGATCCCTGTTATTACCGGGCCTGTTATATATGGTTTCCACCATATTATCTTGAAGCTAGTTCATTTGTCTTGTTTTCAATGAAAAAATTACCCATCTAGCTTCAATAGTAGTAGGTGGGGATCACCTGGTTTCAGAGGTAAAATGAGAGAGAAAATGACCGCCAAAGTTTGGTGAGTTCCAATGCTTAAGAGTCCTTGGATACTGCAAATTTACATTTTTTTGTATATTTAATCAACTTTATTCAATAAAATCCGCACAGCAATGTGTTTTTAAATGGACATAAAAAGTGTTTGGCAAAAAATAAAAATGGCCAAATGGAAAGAAAAATGCTGTTTTCGACAGAAAAATGACATATTTTGTACCTTTAATCAATGGTTTTCAGTAAAATTCATGGAAATGTGTTTTTATATGGACCTAAAAGAGGTGAGCCCAAAAAGAAAAATTTGATAAAAATTTCCAAATTTTCGGAAAAATGTCTGGTTTTCCCATCTCTGTCTTTTGACGAGTGCCTGATTTCACCCTGCAGCCTCACACTCTTTCCAAAGTTCAATATCCTGTATTGTGTTCTCTTTATTTGCCGTTATACTTCTGTTTAACCTGACTTGTCAGTTGTGTTCTCTTCATACAATTTGACCTGGCAGTAGTATTCCTTTGATGCAAACTGACGATGGTTATATTCTTACCTTACAAAGTGACTAATGTTTGTTTGAGCAAAATAACAGGACGATTATATCAAGTAATACAAGTACTGCTGTATGGTTCCCAGGTAGCCAAAAATGTTTCTGAGTATTTTAGGGTCTGCTGGGGTAAATAAAAGTTATAAAGTGCATTGATCATGTACATCAAATTAATGCATTATTTTAATTACTATTCTTATTATAAAGTTCATATTTTTTTCTCTTCCCTAAGATGGTTCAGTCGAAGGTTTGAATCCAATGGAGCTGGAACTACTTCGAAGTGCCTCAGACGTGGGAGGCTCTCAGACAGGTAGACCCTGACACTTAAAGTAGTTTTGACACCCTTCTGATTTTGTGTAATTAATCGACATGATATACAGAGGTGTCCGAAATAAACTTGAAAATGTAGGCCTATTCACCCTGTCATTATGTTAAAGCCTTGCACTACTCACTCATGCAGCATACTAATTTAAAGCTAAATGAATTCTGCATCACCTGACACATTAACTTTCCATTTGCGATAAGAGTCGTCCAAGATATGGTCACTCAAAATTAACCTTAGAAAGATTATGCATGGAAAATATTTGTGAAATCAAAGAAACCTAAAATTGTGTTTGGGCTTGTATTGAAGTGCACTAAGATTTGTTGAATGGTCTTGTATTGGAGTGTATTAAGATTTGTTGAATGGACATGAATTATACATCAAATGAATGGAGAATAGTTTTGTCTCTGCAATGAACTAGCTTTTATTTCGATATTTTCATACAGATTGGAAAACATAGCAGTCACAAATACCACGCAAAACTTGGGCTGACCATTAAATGTGCTCTTTAGTATTTTGTTCACAAGCCTTTGGTTTTGTGTAGAACACCAACCCTTTTTGAACATGGTCTGTGTTACATTTTGGACATAATCATGTGTCACTGAGGAACAGTAACCATGAAACTGCCATGGTATGGGGTTGCCTGACTGGAATGAAGAAAACACCTCTTGTGAGAATCAACGGATGGCTTTGTTTAGATGACAACAATCCGCTTGTTCTGGAAAGTCACGTTGTATCCTTATTTTCGTCATGGTACTATTCAAGTAGACTGTAAAGTTACCTGACGGTCTTGGTCTTTCAGGGGGCCCCCGTCCAGGATCGATGTTGTCGTTCTCTCGTCCTATGCCCGACTGACTCTCCTTTGATTATACTGTCTCGATAATAATAAGAGTCATGTCCCCTGACATCAATCCCCCTCACAAGCAATTTCAAGAACAATTCAAAATACCGAACGCATCAACCATAAACTGAAAGTGTAACTCTGGAACCATATATATACACTGTGCACAGCAGAAACTTTGCCTATAAGTCGAGTCTCTTCGGAGGCCTGACATGGCGTCCCGACTTCGTTATGTAGTCAGACGTAGCGGAAGTATCAGGAAGGGTTATGTCTGACTCTGATGACTCTGCTGGCAATTCTTGTTGACGGTGAGGTAACATAGAAAACTCTCTGGGGATCACAAGATGGTTACTGTGGTGGCCTTCTGTCTGCAGCCGGATCTGGTGATGATTACGAATCTTCTAGCCATTGTCCGTTTTCAACAAGAAACGCAACTTTGCTCCCAGTTCAGACTATTTATTTGGCACTCTCTGTGACATTTTGAATGAGATAAGAAATATATGTCCAAAGTTTAACACAGTCCATGCCCAAATTGCTTGTAATTTACACAAAACAAATGTCTCCCAAATATGATACTATTAGCCGGGTTTCCCGTTCGATGAACGGACTCAAAAGAATCAGTCGTCAAGTCATTGTGGGATCAGTACATACTCCTTGTGAATGGAAGCCTCACTTGATTACAATGGTGTCTTAGAAGACGAATTTTCCCAAGATTAGATCTAAACGAAACTAATGAAGAACTAAATATTAAACTACACTGACTTCAGATTTCTTAATATAACTGTGCACTCTTTAAATTATTCTAACCACAGTTATTTTATGGGCATCAAATGAAAGGATCACAGTCGAATTTAGCACCAAGTCAAAAAAGAAAACAAGAGGCCAGATCTATACGGGTCGCACACTTAAAATAGTGCCCAGTATTGCGGGACAATGTGCGATAGAATCGAACGAAAGTACGACTTGAAATAAACAAACCTGGCGAATGTTCTATTGAGGCTGCCATTTCACATGGAGGAAAAATATATGTTTCAACTCAATGTTCTTTGATGAGAGGATTTATTACAACTGACTTGCTCAGGACACATATATGCCACACAAGAGTGGTGAGTGGAAGTTCACCAAAACAATAATAAAGAAGAATTAAGTTTTCAACAAGGAAGAGTGTAATGTTACTAATATAATCAAGAGAAATAACTCTAAGAATAGTCATGATACAAAAAGATAATACATGCTATTAATAATAAATTCAGTTAATTCTCCTTGACCATAATAATGTGATTTTTATTCTAACACCCCCACTAAAAATCAGCATTGAAAGCTGTGAATCAAATATAATAAAATACCATTGCTACAAAATATGAAATGAAATTCATGTTGCATGTAAGCAATAAAATTACTCTAAAGTTATCGGCATCAAGATACAGTTTGTGGAGAAAAGAGTAAATGAAGTGAGAATGATTGGAGACAAAAAGGTAAAGATGCATATAATAAAGTGGTAGTATTAATAATATGTTCATGTGTAGACATAAATGTTGTAAGAAAATGATCTAATTATTGCTTTACTTTTAACAAATCATTGTTATAAATTCAAGAAAATATTGGAATCATGAAGAAATCATAGTTGCTTGTTACTAAAAGAAATTAAGTTTTCATAAATTTCAAGGTACATGTAGTAATAGTAACAATGACAATGCATAGAAACACAAAATAATGCTTACAATGATTATTGCATTATATAAGCATAGCAATAAAAGGCTTCTGACCTTTAATTTTGGTAATCTCACTGTTCATTCTCCCATAATGGTGGGTTTGAACATTTCTAGTTTTGTTCTTGTGACAGGTTTGGTGAATAAATCTGCCCAATTTTGGTCTGTTGGCACATATTGGATATCAACTTTCCCATTCTGGATTTCATTCCTGATAAAGTGAAATTTTATGTCTATGTGTTTTGATCTCTGGTGTTGCACTGGATTTTTACCAAGTGCAATTGCTCCCTGATTATCACCCATTAGAGTGAAAGTCTCAAATTTTATACCCATCATGTCTTTGATAAGTGCTTTGAGAAAAAGACCTTCTTGTGTGGCAGCACACATTGACATATATTCTGCCTCGCAAGTAGACAGTGCTACTGTGGGTTGTTTTCTGGATTTCCCGGAAATCAGAGTTTTGTCAGACAACATAAACCCATACCCAGTAATGCTCTTTCTGTCACTGGAATTGCCCCAATCAGCTTCACAAAAACCAGTCAGTTTGAGAGGTTGATCAGATTTGCTGTAGGACAATTTCTGGTCATTTGTTGCTTTTAAATATCTCAAAACATGTTTGGCAGCAATCATGTGATTTTTATTTGGTCGTGACATGTACTGGGACAGCTTTGTGACAATGTAGCACAGATCTGGTCTAGTAGCAGTCATAATGTAGATAAGACTACCCACTATCTCTCTGTAATGTTTGCTATCAACAGGTTCTGCTGGTTCATCACAGAATTTGTTCAGATTTACATCATTTGGTGTGTATTTAGGCTTGCTATCAGTCATGCCAAACTTTGATAGCAATTTGTCTATGTATTGCTTTTGACTCAGGTGGATCTTGCCTGGGTCATAGATAAACTCAATACCCAAAAACCATGAAAGTTTGCCTAGGTCTTTCATGTGAAATGTTGAGCTAAGCTTTTCTTTGATTTCATTCATGCGAGATTGATCTTTTGTGGCTATGATTATGTCATCTACCCACACAATGATGACCGCATGGTCAGTATTGTTTGGGTTGCCCTTTGTATAAACACATGAGTCAACTAGTGATTGTGTAAAACTTTGATCAGTCAGGTGTTGGTGTAATTTGGTATTCCAATTTCTGCCACTTTGTTTTAACCCATAGAGTGACTTACTGAGCTTCAAGACTAGTTGCTGTCCTGATTTGCTTTTCATTTGATAACCTTCTGGCTGTTCAACATAAAGTTCACAATCAATATCAACATTGAGGTAAGCAGTTTTAACATCCATTTGGTCAATCAATAAATCATTTTGTATGGCAAATTGAATCAATGTTCTGATTGATGCTATGCGGGCAGTTGGCGAAAAAGTCTCCTGATAATCAATTGCAGGAATTTGTGAAAAACCTTTTGCCACAAAACCGGCTTTGTATCTTTCTTCCCCATTTGGTGAAGTTTTGAGTGCATATACCCATCTTCCCCCCACTGCTTTTCTGTCGATAGGCAGGGTTGTAAGATCATACGTGTTATTTTCGCCCAATGCGCACATTTCATCATCCATGGCTTGCTGCCATTTCTCAGCTTCTTTGCATGATATAGCTTCATTGTAATTTTGAGGGACATTCATTGCAAAACAATAATGGACAGTAACATTCATTAGGTGATCAGCTTGGTCTCCCACAACATAATCATTAAGGTATTTAGGTGGATTTCTTATTCTCCCTTTTGTACCAGTATCTGGATGGTTCTCATCCCTTTGCTCATTTTCATTTTCAATGTCATGAACTGTCTCAATCTCAGGTGTATTCTGATTGCTAGTTTCAGGCATTTCATTTTCAACTACTCTTTCTTTTGTTATAACTTCATCTTTGCCAAAGACTTGGTCGTCTGAAGGCAGTACAACATAGTTAGGTTCTTCAACTGAATGTTGGTTCTTTAGAAACTTTACACATCTAACTTTCTTTACAAGTTGATTTTCTGGGAAGTAAACAAAGAAAGAAGGACTTCTCCTGTCATAGCCTATAAAAATTCCCTTTTCGCTCCTGTTGTCAAGCTTTTTGGGATTTTGAGTTAATGCAAAACAGGCTTTGCCAAATGTCTCCATGTTTGCAATGTTGGGCTTTTTCCCAGTCATGCTTTGGAAAGGGGTGCAATCAATGTTTTTGTGATAGCACCTGTTTCGGATGTATGCTGAGGCCAAAGTTGCATACGTCCAAAGGTTTTTGGGAAGCCCAGATTGCAAAAGAAGGCATCTTGACATATCAAAAAGGCTTCGCCATGATCTCTCCGCCTTTCCATTCTGGTGAGGAGAGTATGGCGCAGTCAGTTCATGTTTTATTTTATTTTGATTAAGAAGAGCACTAAATTCTTTTGAAATAAATTCCCCCCCTTGATCACTCCTAACAATTTTCACATTCCCATAGGGAGAAATGTCAGCAAGATATTGCTTGAAAGTTTTGACAGCATCACATTTCTGCTGTATGAAATACACAGACATTAAATTAGTGAATTTATCCACACAAACAAGAGAATACCTCATGCCATTGATGTCAGGTGGATCAACGGGTCCTGCTAGGTCAAAGTGAACAATATCCAGCGGTCCTCGAGCAGAAAAGTCTGGTTTCCGACTGCGGATGTCTGGCATTTTGCCTAAAGCACACACTTCACAATCGAAATCGGTTCTGTCGGTAATAATAATTCCTTCTGCTTTGGCTTCCAACTTCAGGATATCTGCTTTATTACAGTGTCCCAAAATAATATGCCACTCCTTCAGGCTGTGACGGGATGTTTTCGTGTTTGACGAAGAATTGAGAAAATATAACTTTCCATCTTTATGAATATCAAATGTCGTTCCGTGTGAATGGAGTTTAGCGCAATGCTGTTTGAATTGAACTGATGCTCCTTTCTCAGTTGCTGCACGCACAGAGAAGATATTTTGGGCGAAAGAAGGGACGAAGAGAGCGTTTGTGAGCGTTACGTTGCGTCGTCGTCCTGTGTTGTCTGTAAACGAAATATTTGCTTCGCCCTGTCCCATTGCAGCATTTGCACATCTGGTACCATCAGCCAGCTCTATGATGTGCTTAGCGGGGTCAAACTGATTTTGAAAGCTGACGAATCTGGCTTTGTCGTTCACAACATGGACGGTTGCACCGCTGTCTACCAGGAAGGAGTCGGTTTTATGACGACTGGATGAGTTTAACTTGGTATGTGACAGATCGTCGAAGGTGAAGACATATTGGTCGTCCCGATTGTTGCCGCAGAGGTCGTCCGTTTTTGCAACCTTGAGTTTGGATATCTTTCTGCAGAACTTGGTATCATGTGTGTTACTCCTGCAGTGATCACACCATCTGCCTCTTTTGGGTCCTTTGCTGGACGCTCCTTGGTCTGGATTTCGTCTGCAGTACTCTGTGTCATGGTTGTTCATTCTGCAGTTACGACACCAACGTTTCGGTCTGGATTCTGCAGAGCTCGCATTTGTCATCATGACAGAAGTTGGTTTTGGTGGCAGAGACTTGATCTTTTCGTTGTTTTCATAGTTCCTGAGGGCTATCTTAAATTCCGAAAAGGTCATTGGTTTGTCACGTTGAGTAACCACTGTGGTGAAGGGTTTGTATGATTGGGGATGCTTGAAAGGTGAAGGGTTTGTGTGGATAAATTCACTAATTTAATGTCTGTGTCACCATTGCTACGAGGAGACTATCTTGGATGGTTTCACCGGCAGTTTTTAGTGATGCTGCGGCTGTCTCGGCCCTGATAATATAGTCTGTGATAGACTCTGAGGTTGACTTGACCAATGACGTAAGTTCTGTATAGAGGGTTATAATCCTCGGTTTGCCTTTTGGCAAATAGTGCTCTCTCAGTATTTTTAAGGCAGCTCGGCCATCGTTCCTGGCATCTCTAAATATTAAAGACAGAGATATGTCGTCAAGAACTTGGACTAATTCTGCAAAGACCTCTTCATTTTTCATGGAATCTATTGCAGCTTCATTCTCATCTAGATCTAGATCTTTTAAAACATCGTTAAGACCTCTAATTTTCATAAAGCCTAGGAATTTTATCTCCCATAGCTCATACTTCCTTTCATCTCCACTGAACTGGATACGTTGCCTGGGCCCATAACCTATTGAGGCTGCCATTTCACATGGAGGAAAAATATATGTTTCAACTCAATGTTCTTTGATGAGAGGATTTATTACAACTGACTTGCTCAGGACACATATATGCCACACAAGAGTGGTGAGTGGAAGTTCACCAAAACAATAATAAAAAAGAATTAAGTTTTCAACAAGGAAGGGTGTAATGTTACTAATATAATCAAGAGAAATAACTCTAAGAATAGTCATGATACAAAAAGATAATACATACTATTAATAATAAATTCAGTTAATTCTCCTTGACCATAATAATGTGATTTTTATTCTAACATGTTCTAAAATTACAGAGACAGAAGTGTCGGTCTACAAAAGCGATCAGCGAAATAAGGAAATTTAGCTTTTTGCAGCAAAACTGTCTCAAAACTGAAAAAACGAAGAGCGTCATGATCTGGAGAATACTTTAAAGAATCTTTTGGCGAAAACCGCATGTCGATCGATGCAGCCATTAAAAAGCATTTTGAATAGCAACATTCGGCCAGCACAAATAGATAATAGAATAAACACATGTAATGTTTAGTCTCCTAAATAAAATAACAATGAACACATGCAATGTTAAATCCAAGTTTTTGTGGTATTTGTGACTACTCTGCGTTCCAATCTGTTTCAAAATATCGCAATAGAATATCGTTTATCGCAAACAAAAAATGTTCTCCATTCATTTGACATATCAATATGTGTCCCTTCCACCAATGCTTGTGCACGTCAATACTTGGGTTATACCAGTCCGACGGACCTCCAACCAGATCATGATGGAGACTATAAGTAGACAGACTCTGGGATGGATCCTGAAGAGGGGGGGGGGGGGGGGGGAGAGCAGAGATGGACATGTTCCGACTGTAGTGACCCCAGCACAGTGGACAAGTAAGACAAGTAAGTAATACTTGGGCATACACACTTTTGACTCTATAACCCACATGGACGATGGGAGGGTCTAGTGAAACTCACCCGGTCCCTGGGGGAACTGTCTCGGCGTCCGGTCAGATTGCACAGTGCATGAAGTTAGTATTACTTCTTATATAATCTCATATGAATACGAATATATATAAATTATGAATACGAATATATTTTTATTTTCACCCGAAAGTGTTAGATGAATGTATAAACTACTTCCTCTTTCACTTTGACAGTTTTAGACATTTTAGGAATATTTTGAGTGTATCCCCCGTTATGTGTTTTGCGAGATCTGGAAAAAAATTATGTCAAAACATGGAAAATAATTTCGGGGTGAAAGAGTTAAGTTTTTAAAAATTTCACAGAATTTTGCCAAATCTGATTTATTAAAGGTTAATTTCAAATGACCATACACTTTGAGATGATATCAATATCAAAATGCCCAAAAATTGATTAACTTCCAATTCCATTGTGTCATCACACACATGCTCACACACACACACAGCCACCCACCCACAAACACACACACCCACACACACACACGCGTGCGCACACACACACACACACACACACACACACACACACACACACACACACACACACACACACACACACACACTCACACGCACGCACTTGCACATGCACGCTCTCTCTCTCCCTCGACCCATCTCTCTCCCCCCCCCCCCCATTTCTCCCCCTCTCTCTGTCTGTGTCTCTTTCTTTCTGTCTCACTCTGTCAGTCTGTCTGTCTCTCTCTTAGTCTCCCCCCCCCCCTCTCAATGTATGTCACACACTGATATGATGGTGCAAAGCTCTGATGAGGTAGGTCCTGGATGGTCCTTGTCTTACTTTCTTTTATTACCTTTCTTCCTCAGTTAGCCTTCATGGGGACCAGAATGGCATAAGACTGAGACCAAGCAGATCCACGTATGTTTTAAGACTTTTAATTACTTTCAACCCTCTCCGTCCCCTTCTCCGCGCATTGTTTTTTTAATTTTTTATTAAAATAAATTTTGTAAAGTTTTTGCTTTTTGTCCCAATATCCCACTCTTTACACCCCATGTCGTTTAGATTCAATATGTTTGAGTGATCTTACGGAAACCATTACAATTGATATCAATGATATTGATTGTTTTGAGTGGTAGGTCTTCTGTCAGTAGTTTGTATCTTTTGAGGACTCTTGTACTTTAAAAAAGTGCTAACCTTTCTGTTGTTGTCTCTCTTACCACTACCGACAGTTCTGTCACTGCCAAATGCTCAGTGTGCTTTACTGCAAAAGTTTCATTGAGATGTAGGCCTACACTTTTAAAAAATTTGCCTCTGCATTCTGCTTTTTATCTCCTGTGATATAGAGAACAATGGAAGCATGAAGATGATGAAAACAGCAATAGTGCTGATGAAGAAGATAATGATTGCAGTAACAATGGTGATAATTACCATGGCGGTGACATAGGTAGATAGAGCTATAGCTACAGTGGTGACAGTGATGAAGTTGATGTGTAGGTAGTCCTTCGTTGCCGAAGATGATGATGAATCCTGCAGCTCATCTGTGGATGCGCATGTAGCTGTGCAATCCGATCCTGGATGAACAATGTCTGTTGCAGTGGGGACACTGGAATGTCGTGGTTGTGGCAGTTGGCTTATGTCTCCTCTCTCTTCTGTTAGTCAGCTTCTCTCTGTAGTTTGTATCGCTGTTTCTGCTGGCAATACGGACGGCCCTGCACCAGGCGTTCCTTTTGGTAGCAGTTCTTTCGAGTTCTTTGGGGTTTACCTCAACAGACTGGAGGTTGTCCTTTATCGTGTCTTTGAACCGCTTTTTTGGCCTCCCGAGATTTCTTTTGCCACTTGCGAGTTCGCAGTAGTAAAAGTTATAAAGAAGAGGATGAAAATGAAGATGACAGAGCATTTGAAAGGCTCCATGGCAAAACGCACTTTACCCATTTACAACAAAATTGAAAATTTTGAAGAAGTTTGTTTTAAATTACTCAATGATACAGACAGTGAAACATGACTGTGACGCATCTGTATCTCTGCAGACACACACTGGCTACCACACATGTGCTGGCTCCCTGGTTGACTTCTAGTGGTGCAATTGTTAGATCAAATTTTTTTGATAATCGAGCAGGAATTTTGGTCGAGTAAATTGACAAAAATGGTTTCTTCATCAAGCTGGACATGAATTAAGCGCCAAAATAAATTGTCCTTGGGAAATAAAAATTTACATCTTTTGATCCTTTAATCAACGTTTTTTTTGTAAAATTCACACAAAAATGTGTTTTTAAATGGACATAAAAGGTGTTGAGCCAAAAACGAAAATTCAAAAATAATTTACGAACTGGCAGAAAAATGCTTTTTTCTTTGATTTCATTATTTTCATGAGCGCCTGATTCCACCACGATGCCTCACATGGGCCTATAACTATAACCAGAATAACCTCCTTGGCAATTGCTCGTTTGCGACCTGGATGACGTCAGCATTGAGTGTGCGATATGAGTCAGTGAACCCTTATTGTCTCTTTGAGCGCATTCAAATCTGATAGGCAAAGTGCTATTTTGAATTTGATAAATGGATTCACTTTCACTTGAAACTGAATAAAAATTATCATCAGCAATAAATCTCTTATCCACTATCCAGCTGACTAAAAGTGACCTGCTCCGCCGGTCTTTCTCGTTATACAGGGCCTTATAAACTGAGGACGGAGAACACAAAGATAGAGTAGAAGAGAGAGGAGCTAAGATAGTTGTAGAGAAGGCTAGGGACGGTTGCATGACCATGTAGCATGTAGCAAGAACTTAGCGAGGTGATGAGATGTAGAAGAACAAACTGAAAATGTAGCCAAAACAAAATAGTCACCATTTACTGAGGACTGTAGGCCTAGGCACTTATTAGGCAAGAAAAGAAGTGATAGTGTGGTTAGGATTTTGGTGCTATTGTCTCTGGCAACTACCCAGTTTTGTCCCTTTGATATAAAATTCTAGCAGGGAAGAAATAGTAAGCAGTGTCTTACCTCTGTAACTGTCCAGGTTTTGCTAATTAAACTGTATTTTAAGTCATGCTGAATGAACATAGAGATCTGTGCTCTAGTTTAGCAATGTGTTACACTGTGTATTAAAATCTAGTGAAGTGTTATTGTTTCTGATGTGAAGTTCTGTTGTTAGTTTATATGTAGTTTTATTAAACCACTGTACATCACGAACCAGAGTGTGTGTAACAAATCAGTATAGCAACAATTAATGTTTCTCTGGATCTCTAACAGGATTCGGCTATAACAGGTACATCGGTCTCAGCAGTCCTTTTATAGCCTGGTCCACTTTATAGTGTCTTTTGCAGTTGAATCCTTCCTTGAAAAGTCACCTTAAAAATGCAAAAACTTCTCTGAATCATGTCACAACAGGACCAACCAGTCGGTTCCGAAAGATCTGTCGAACAAAGTGCGTTTTGCCAATGCTGCTAGGCGAGACGAGGAAGTGGAGGCATTCATAGAGCTATTGGAATTATTGCTTGTCCGAAGGGCTGCCTCAGGACTTGTGTTGAACAAAAAGGAGGTAACTGGATACATACCATACTTTCTCTGCTTTTTAGATAATTTTTGCGGTCTACACAATATGATTGATGGAAGATGAGAGGTTAAAAGTATCTGAATAAACCAGTTTAAGTAAAGTTAAATTCATCAAAAATGATCTATGTTATTACTTCAAATGGCCCAGATCTTTTGTCCTGTAGATTTTAAATAAAATCATAATACTGTTCTCAAGTAGACTCCATAGAGAAATTTCACAAGTGATCCATATATATTATTTCCTGTGTGAGACATCAACAAATGATCCATACTGTGCCTGTTGTAGATTTTTACTCTTGAGTCATGTGTCTAGTGTGGATGCTGAAATTTGATCCATGGTGCTGTTTCTAATCAGACTTTAACAAATTTTAATTATAAATCTAAGTGGATTTTATATAGTATAATTTTAACAAATTATGATCCATGTTCTTTCAATTGTAGATTTTTACAAAATAATTGATCCCTTTTGTTTCCATTGTAGATTTTTACAAATGATCCTTGATGATTCTAGTGTAGGTGTTCAACAACAAATTTGTCTTGTTTCTTGTAAGAATTGTGCAAATGATCCGTATCATTTCTGGTGTCGATTTTTATGAATGTTCCCTGAATTCCTAGAGAAGATTTCTGTTGCCTCAATATGTGCAAATGTTTCTCTTTGAAAGGCCATTATTTGCTATTCTATCACAAAGTTTCCACACCTCCCTTAGATCTGCAATTCATAGACTCTCTAGTGGAACCTCGCTAACTCAAATAAAAAAATTTCACTGAAGAAATAGAAACAAATATTATCTAACATTTGATAGCTGGTGGGTTTTACTTTTGTTATCTGTTCAGTGATCTTCTGCTGCAATGCAGTCTTGTAATTCTTAAAATTGTCTTGTAATTCCTAAAATTGTCTTGTAATTCTTAAAATTGTCTTGTAATTCTCCTCTTGTAGGTCTCCCTTCCTCCTGGCCATCAGCTTCCTGAAACTGCTAAAGTTTTAGGGAAGGGGGGTAATGGTGCGATCTACATTGTGACTGATCCTAAAACAGGAAAGGAAAGTGCCTGCAAAATGGTAGGTCTTTTGGTTTAGTCCTTGCCCTATGTTTTAGCCTCGTGATAAACGAGAGGTCAATAAAATGGTGTTCTCCTTACCAGGTATATCCTCTCCTCCTCCTCCTCCTCCTCCTCCACTAATCACTTATTATTTTTCAGTCGCATATGTGCAACTTTCTGCATAAACATACAGCATCCTCTCTCTGCAAAACCCTTAACATCCATAGAGACAGGCACAGAAATGAAGAAGTAAGAGAGCAACTATTGACATTGAGCCCTGCCTGCATTTCATAGAAAAACAGAAAATGGTTTGGCCACCTGTTACGAATGCCTCCTAGCTAGCCAGCCTCGAGAGCTTAACTTCAAGTACTCAGGATATAAAGGAAGAGGTAGATCACGCAAAAGATAAATTGAGTCAAGGAAACTGAGAAATTATGGTATTCCAATTGAAAAAGCTGCAGAGCTGGCCTACCTTAGAAAACTGCATCTCCCCTCGACGCTTTATGACTACTGAGGATGAAAAAGTAAAAGTAAAGTATCCTCTCTTCTACCTTCACCGTGACCCCAAACCCCAAGGTCATGATCGCCTCGTTTCATGGTGACGTCATTCGCACATGGCTTCACCTGGCAGACAAGGGCTTGGCTCCGGAGCTGTATAGCTTTCGGATTGTTGAAAACAAAGTTGAATTTAAAATGGAGATAATTAAAGGTGAGTGAAGTCATGTAAAAAGGACTTTCATGGGGTTCATGTGGTATGGGAGTAGCCTGCTTGCCTCTCATGCCAAAAGTTCTCTTTTGCGGTAAGCTGACAAAACACCCTTTTTTTCATTTTGGCGCCGAATTTTTAAATTTGCTAAATCGAAAGCCTGATCAGTTATCCTACTTGTGTGAAAAAAAATTCTTTTGAAAGGGGGAGGGGACAGGATCCTGACATTCTTCAACCTTTTGCGTTCTGCATGTTTTGCTGATTTCATTATAAAGAAATACCCAAAACCTAAAACATCTAAAAAAAGTAGTATATATAAAAGATGGACTGAACTTATAAAAGAATCTGGGGCATAGACGTATGAACTAGGCTTGTATTTTGTTTTGTGTATGTGCCCCATTTGAAAGGAATTGCAGCATTTAGTTGGTACACGAACTGCATGATCTGAGATATTAGCAATTTTCCGTAATTTTTATTTAGCTTTTAGCTTTCTAGTTATTCAAACTATTTCAATAACTATTCCTTGTTACACTATATATACTTTCCCTACCTTTCATAGAGTTTTGCAAACAAATGTGCTTTTATTTTATTTGTCTCTCTATCGACAGGTAAAACCTTGACGGAAATCATGGATGATTTGTGGTCCCAACAACCTGCCTCTGACCTGACCCGTCCCTTCTCCCTCATTGTTCTGAAGGACCTTCTAACCCTGTTTGAAGAACAGATGCATGGTGAACAGTTCACGCACGGGGACATGTATGGTAGGGATCCAATGTCACTGTACAGTAGTGTTTGAGTTCTGCCTGCAAAAATTATTCTTCACGAATTAACAAGCACTCGTTTTTAGTGTCCGCAAATAGACTAGCAAACAAACAAATCACTGGCTGTATGGGACTGGGAGGGCAGAAGTTGATTGGTACACTGCAAAGATAATTGAGCTGGCAATGCTAGTCTTGGCCAGTTCGTTCATGACGTCACAATGCTATCCTGCCAGCGCCCTGCTTGTTGAAGTTCAAGAAACAATGCACACCCCGAGCACAGGTTGATTCTATCACCCTGGCATCCGATGTCTGCAACCGGTTTGCTTGTTTCTCGATTTGGTTAGCTTAGCTGTAGGCCTATTGAGCGCTTGCTGCGACACTGTGATACAGCTAGCCCATCATCAGGCTTAGCCTGTCACGCAGCTTCTCCTTGTCCACGGATCGTTGTCCCACCAGCACCCAATGTGCCGAGCTCGGGGTAATCAGCGGTACACTTTGGGTCTATAGCGTTAGGGACTCGTTTAACCCACCGCTCGTAAAACGATCAGCTCGGTTTTTTTTTGGACTTCTTCTGTGCTAGCAGGTAATGAATCGGTATTGAGCGCTCACTACACCACTACTGCACGGTGAGCCCCAAGGTCCCTTTCACATACATGCAGCAAATGGTAAATGAAAAGTATCAGAACGAACATCCTAGGTTTCCAGTCTTACCCCACACAAATTGCCTCTACATTCACATACCACTTCAAAAACTTCATCTCACCAAAGAGTATCACACCAAAAAATATCACAACAAAACAGTATCACATGAAACAGTATCACATAGAACAGTATCGCACTTAACAATATCACACCAATCCATCAGTTACTCTTCAGTGAAACAGTATCTCTACAAACAGTATCGCCCAAAACAGCAGTACACCAGTTTCATACCAAATGGAATCACACCAAAAGACCCACGCCAATCCAATAGCATCTTACTAAACAACATCACACCAAATCACATCGCACCAAACCACACTACACCAAACCACACTGCACCAAACTACATCGCACCAAACAGCATCACATTAAAACAGCATCACATTAAAACAGCTTCACATCAAACAGCATCACACCAAACAGCATCACCCTAAAACAGCATCACACCAAACAGCATCACACCAAACAGCATCACCCTAAAACAGCATCACACCAAACAGCATCACACCAAACAGCATCAC